TTATGTGCTCACCACTCTTTGCCTTTTTCCTCTCAATTGTTCCTTTTTAAGCTTTTATGAGTCACTTAAAGAACACATTCAAACAATTAGAGAGTGATTTGTTCAATGGATTGAAATAAGCAAGCTGAATTCCCAATGTAGAACTCGTTCATTTTATAATACTACTCAATTTGGCCTTAAAGAAGCTTAAATGGTCGAAGCTAATCCCTAAGTACTTGTAATTTCCAAATTCAATAAACAAGCAATCAAGAGCATAAAATTACATAATTTAAAAGAAATAAGAACTAGGAAAAAAATGGCAGAATCAATCAAGGATAGATGAATCTATGATTGAGCCTATTCTTTGATACCAAACGATATGAAATTGGAAATAGAACCTTTGAATTTGCAACTCCAAACCCAATGGATATATTGATCCAAAAGAGATGAATATAAACAGCTCAAAAATCCCAAAAATAATTCCTTTATGTTTAGGATCTATCCATCAAGATTCAAGAAACAAAGAAAATAATCTTAAAACCTTTAGCTACATTAAGCTAAAGACCTTAAGAATAAGAACTATAATCTTTTATCTATAATGAGATAAAAACTATGGCTATTAGGTGTTTAGGATTTTGAACACTACACACAAAGCTTAAAGAAATAATTCTCACTTGAGAAAGATATAGAAATTGTATTCTAAATGTTGTTGACACATATATTTATATGTCTCATTAAAGATTTTCGCGAGGGTTACACTTTCCCTTTCATTTTGTGTGTTAGGACACTCAAGGTAGGAAGAGGGAGAAAGAAAAAGAAAGTTAGGTTAACTATGCATGTTAATAGTATATTATTGATCCTAGTTATATGTCTATAAGGAGTGTCCCCTAGATATGAATAGGATATCAACACCCTATGTCGTCAAATAAGATAATTAAATGCCCTATTTTCAACGTTTTAAATTAATATATAAAAAACTATAAGCCAATTGAGAACGGTATTAAATTGTGTTAGTAGATCCGTAATATCGTTTACTACTCACCTTTTTAAGTAGATCCATAATATCGTTTACTACTCACCTTTTTATCCTCCTTAATGGCCGAAGTTCTACCCTGATATAATAGTGACAAAATGGCCTAAAATATCTTAGCGTATACCAAGAAAATTGTAGACACCTTATGAATTGTTTAGGATTATTTGTACAATGATCTAGGATATCCGAGCTTCATTAGAGTTTTTAAGAAGGATGGAGATGGACTAACCAGTTGGGATTATCATATTATAATCCCTCTCATTGTTTTCCATCTACTTATATCAATCCTAGGTCCCATCAATCCTAATATTATATGGATTAATAATGTAACCCCGTGGATATTACTTATCTCTTTGTAATGGAATCATTGTAAACCCCCGTTTGTATTTTAGATAACTATTGTTATTCTCCCATAAAGAATAAGCCTAACCTTTGGTATTATATAGGTTTTCATGATAACCTTATACGTCAATAATATTTTTAAATGTTCTTAATATAAAAAAACAAAGAATTAACTATAACGTATAAGGAGAATAATATATTCGTGGTACCCTCCCTTATTTGACTATAGTTATGGTAGATAGGGAAATATGATTTATGTTCATATTTAGCCCAAACAATATACATCCGGTAATGACGGAGGGTACTTATTCTCCAATCTCTTCACTCTCAATATAGATTTAACCCGGTTATGAATCCCCTTATGAATCCTAGACTAATGTCCTATTATGTTCATGGATACACCATGTGGTAGCCCTTTCTCACTCTTATACCTTGTCATGTCCTTTAATAATCAAAAGGATAGGGATCCAACGAGGTAATTATACCTTAGGTCCATTAACCATTGATAAAGACCCCTCCAATGTGGTTTTATCAAGAAAAATCCTCTATAAATAAGCTTAATGATAACTTAAATATTAACTAGATGTAATTGATCACCCCTTTCATCTTATAAGGGTTAAAATAGTATGATTATAACCATGAATCTGATCCACCATTAAGTATTGTCTCTTAAGGGATCATGTTAAAAATGATAGCTATACTAAAAATGGGGCAACCTATTAAAAATAGGTAACAAACCCCTATTAAGGCTAGTTATAAGTCCTAATACTCTATATAGAACATCTAATGGGCCAACATTATCATAGTGGTAGAAGTAGGGAATATCGATAGTCTTCACATAATGACTTATTATACCATTAGTAATTAACCGTTGTCTCCAAGAATATCATATGAGAAAGCAAAAAATTCACTAAGCTAGGATTACCTTGATTGGTTACCATATAGATATTCAAATAAGTATGGACTATAGCGGTACATACTAAGGTGGAGTATTTTATTCATCTTGGGCCATTAGTCCTAATCGAGGAGAAGTCCACTATACATATAGGAATTCTTAACCTATTAACTCCATAATTAATAGGAATATTAAAAAATTATCTACTAATAATGATAGGTAATCTCTTTGGTATATTCATCCCTATTATGATAACATTAAGTGACTCCAAGAAAAATGCCTGGTCTATTTTGAATTTTATACAATGGGAATAGATTATGTAGATTATGCTATAGGATATCCTATGGAGAGGACCCGATACATTTACGGGATGATAGGACCTCCATAAAACATGGCTAATCTATTCTAATTTTCCCAAAATGCATTATTTAGATATATATTATCATATCAAAGATTAGTGCATTAATATAAGAATAGGTTGTAATCGGTAGTCTCTCGTAAATGTGATGTTGGGTTACTAACCTACCAATTATATCGACTAAGCTATCATCCTTTTGTTTTGGGAAAAGTTCCTAGTTCCACATGGTCAAGAATGGATATCATATATTAGTGTTTGTGACTAATAGGGGCTCTCTATATCCAACTAAAATATTTTGACCTAATCTTCATAGATGTCCTACTATTGTCATAAGGATGATAGGAGATCTCCATACTACATATTAGTAACATCGATATTAACCTACATATAGATATTAGTAACATTGATTAGATATTAATTGGACTATTGATGAGGGTAAGTGACCATAATCATTAATGATAGAGACTCCTTGGATAATGGATTACTCATTGGATAGAAGGTTCTAAACATCTCTTGATTACTATTGATCTATACACGACTTGTTGATCCGAAGATATTTCATCGGGTGATCAATGTATATTAAATTGTCATAAATATAGTTATCACAATTATAAGCACATGCTTGGATAATCAATCGGTAGGGACTTTCCCTCTAAAATTGTAGGTGCGTTCATAGGTCAAGTTCTCCGGATCGGGGTATCTCCATACTAATATTCATACATACATTAGGATTCCTTCCATATTATATGTTAACCTATATCACTCGGTGATATAATTATTGACTATGTATCAAATCTTTTCAAAGGAGGGTTATCATAACTATCACTTAACCTCCATGGGAGGCCCAAAACCAAGTCAGTAAGAGGGCACTCTCTCCTTATGTGCCATATCACCCTTCTAATTTAACTATAGGGAAGGATTATCCATTGATACTATCTAGTAGTCGATAGTTGGCTTCATAATTGGAATAAGGCTATTAGGGCCATTTTTAATCTACCCTATCTCTCCCTCTCTTCTTTAGCCCAAGTCATAATGCCCTCTTACTTATAATTTTGTAACCTATCATCCTCAAGGGTACCTTTGATAAGTTAAATAAAAAAACCAAGTTAATTTACCAACACATGACTTTGTAGATGGACTAATGTCGAGAAGCTTTAATAGTAAATTATCATGTGGTATATTAGCTATATGATCACTAATATATGAGCTACTTGACAAAAATATTGTATAACCTTGGTATACGGATTCATTCAAAGTCATATAAGAGAATTAACTTGGTTTTTTGGTCTAAATTATCAACGGTTAGGCCCTCGAGGATGATGTAGTTCATTACAATGGCTATATACGAGTACGGTAGGAGAATAATTACCAACATCAAGCGAGTCATATTTTGTTACCTTTATAGGATATTTACATCAACTTAGACCATGTCAATTCCTCCGATACTAGGCCCTCTCACTTATTTATCATAATTAATATGTGTCATCCACATTAGCTTGATAGTAGATCTGTTAGTGTATTGCAAGGTATCCAACAATATAATTAGATTTATACTTCCATCTCTCCCTCTCTCTCCCTCCCTCATCCATCCATACTCATGGTGAGAACTCCTTCCATGTACATTCTCAACGAAAAGAGAGATAGAGATTAAGCCTAGAGATAAGGAGAGAGTGAAGGAGCGAGATGGAGAGAGGGAGAGGGAGAGTATTGATGTCAAGGGAGTATTATATGGAAAGATTAGGGCTTGGGGTCGATATAGAAATCAAATGGAATAGTAGATACTATAATCAAGTGGTAAGGAGAATTACTAAAGGACTACCATATACTTGTTTGATAGTTGAATGGGGGCAAGGGTCAATGTTGTGGTAACATATTAATTTTTGTTCAGTATAAGGGAGAAAAAATAACATAATTGTTCCCCTTTTGAGGGAGTATTATATAGGAGAATAATTTGGTATGATAACATAATTAGCAAAATTGGTATTTAATTGATTAGCCCTCTTGAAATAGGATATCTCCTTAGGAGTTAATTATATTGATGCACATATGCATTAACTCGGTGTCTAACCGACTTATAATATAGAGGGTTGGTATGATTATCTAAACTTGGTGACATGAATAAGTACGAACTATAATAGTAAATACCAAGGTGGAGTATTTGATTCATCTTGGGCCATTATTCCCAATTGAGGGAGAAGTGCACTATATATATATATGAATTCTTAACCTATTAACTCCATAATTAATAGGAATATTAAAAAAAATTATCTACTAATAATGATAGGTCATCTTTTTGGTATAAATATTCCTCCCTATTATGATAATATTAAGTGACTCCAAACAAAATTCTTTGTCTATTTTGAATTTTGTACGAACGAGAATAGATTATGCTATCAAGCAATAATTGTTTTAGCTCCTCTAATGTATTTTGTTAAGTCTATAATCACATGACTTTGTAACCCGGTTACCTTGGAGCATGGTACCTATAAATTTTAACATCATGAGAGACACATGCGGAATGGGAGAAAATAGCATGCTTAAAGGTAAGAAAAAGTGAGGTGATATTATTTAAATAGGAAACATTGAATTATAGAGAGAATTCACATTACCTACCATAAGAATCAAGACATGTTGACATGCACACAGAGAGTTATCTGTCATGAAGGAGAACCATATAAAGATGTAATATAGCCATTAGATCACCCACTAATATTGTCTCTTTTTCCCTCTCCATTTTATAGACTTAATAGCTTATTAGATATAGTGATAGGTTCGCCTATAAACTAGGGCCATATGTTTCTAATCGTACATGAATTTAGGCACTAATTGGTTCTCTCTATTGAATATACTCCCTCCCTCTCGATGAATTGGCCAAAGTTCTATAATTTGTTAACCTAATATGTTATCCCAGTCCCTATCATAGTTTGATAGGTTGTGCGCTAATATCTCTTGAGTTATTAACAAATAATGTATATTTGGGAACTAGGTATTAATAACTAGAAGGCCATTATCATATATGATAGAGACACGAGCATGTGACTACAACAGATAATTGAATCATAATATTATGAGCTCATTTTTTAGTCTAAATATTAGTTCGCAATATTGATAAGAGTTTGCAAAAAATAGAGATATTGGCATTCTTGATGGGTTATATGCTCGTGTCTTGATGGTATATTGAATATTAAGAGAGAACAATCATGATTATTGGTCCTCATCATTCCCTTGAATCTCGGCTAATTTAACCATTAGCTACTCCTTATCAATAATCATAATTCTAATCATACAAATGGACTATATATATTACCTATGTAGGTGATTAGAAGCCGATTATGTTAAGGAAGAGATGGAAGATAACATATAAACTATAGGGCATCATTATAGAGAATTCTTGATATCCAGTTTGTTCACACCTAACAATAATTGTAAGGACCATATGAGGGAACATGCCAATCATACAATTATTTGCCTATTCCCCATTGCTATTCATAAATTATCACATGGCTTCTCAATATATTGGTTTATTTATCTATATGATAGGGTTATACCATTTTAATAAACCCCTCTCCGTTTAGGGGCACCTACCTATTATATTTCTAATGTAAACCTACCCTCCATATTATGAGTATGTACTTTACTAATTAGGGCAATAAATTGTGTCCAAAAGAAGAGTATATGTTAGTATATTATCCCCATATTATATTAGGAAAAGAGATTTATAAGATTGATTATCCCCCTATTAGTTTATAATCTCTCTCACGATTCTACAAGAGTATAGTTTATCTCTCTATCTATCTCTCCGTCTCCATCTATCTCTCCTTTTGTCTCGCCTATCCAAATAGACTCTCCATAACTATATTTCATGAAGAACGTTAAAAAGAATACCAAGACATATAAACTAGGTATTTTCCTACTCACTACCCCTATTTGTTAATACACCGATCATTCGACTTTTTCCATTGTTAACTTAATAACAAGTTCACACTAAATATACCTAGTTTTATAGATCATCTTCCATTTTCATTAAATATATCTTATTCAATACCTATAGTTTTATTTGCCTTTTAATGTGATAGGGAAGATCATATGGTGTCCCTTTATGACAACTATTAAGTTTGGGAATGAGACCAAGGTGATTATTTAAAAGGGTCTATTTATGTCTCTATTAAATATCTATTAAGATTTCTACAACTAAGAGTAATGAGAACCAATATCCATTACAAAATATAATATGTGCTTAAACGATGTGATCTAAATGGAATCCTCCCCACCTTCGTCTCATATTTTACTACTTTTACCTTTACAATAATCATGATATTCCTTAACGAGTTGAAAGAGTGATATGTTAACCTAGTCACCTATAATATAAATCATAATCAAAGGTGACAAAATTAGATGGAATCCTATCGGGGCTTGGTCCTCATAAAATTATTATAAAATAAATGAGTCTAGCCTCGGTATAATGAATATACCAAGATAGGTGTTCGTCATGGTATCATAAGCCACCGATTCCATTCTTAAAGGATTATGTTACAATTATCCCTTTCTCCGAGGGTTTTACCCATAATACCAATCAATATTTTTAGGATAGGAAAGCTAATTAACTCTCCATTCGAGTAGAAAAAACCACGTTTCTCAATATAGGTCTCTCCTAAGAGGGACATTAATTTCTATCAAATATCATTGAATCATTTTTAATCAATTATCTATTTACTAAAATAAGTGAGGATACACTCTCCCAATATTAATATACTAATATTTCCAATTGTTGAAAAATATTCAGTATACACTCTCCCAATATTAATATACTAATATTTTCAATTGTTGAAAAATATTCATTAGCCGTATTGAAAGGGAAAGAGGGGATTGTTCTAATGACTAGATAGATTATATAGGATTGGATATAATAGACTAATCACTCCCTCATCTCTTTAGATAATCATGAGCACATGCTTATTGAATTTCGACCACTAGATTATATTAACAACTAATTGTGAAGAACATGCCTACAAATAATATATGTGTTGAAAGAGTGATATGTTAACCCTTTACCATTGCAGGCTTGGATGTAGTTATCCTTTGATTCACTTATGATGTCACACAATATATGATTGTTCCGTATCTTTGGGTATGTACTTAAGATAATGGATATATGTATATATGCTATCAAGGAATACAATAGTTTCACTTTACCACTCTAACGAGTGTGATTTGGTATTCCAAATTATAGCCTTTTCTTAGAATCAAGTTGTGTTAGCTACACATTATCGTTGAAAGTGCCCTTAGTAACTTATTCCTCCATTGTGCCTTGATATGTACATATATCCATCAAGTTAGTAGGATTGATAGACATGGATGCAATAGGTATTCATAAAGGTAAACTAGGAGAAGGGGTATGTTAGTGGGGGCACTTCCATACAATAGAGTCTCTTAACCATCATAGTCACACTTAAATTAGGGGTATTTATTGGGGCACAAACTAATTAAAAGGTATCAAATTATGCTTGAAGTGAGTCTTAATAGGTTATTCCTATTAGATGTTATCGTAATTTAAGTTTTGAAAATTTTTTTAACTTATTCAAAGGAGAAGGATAATGGTATATTACGCCATAGTCTTAATAGGTATGGGAATACTTGTCATTCTACTATCATGCTAATAGGTTTGAACAATAATGATTAAATCAACACCCTCGTAACCTATGGAAGAGAGCTATTACCAATGTTAACTTCGGACAATCATAAAAGACGGGTCTCTCTAGAACGAGAGAGGGAGAGAGTCTCTATAATTAATATTTAAGTACAATAATAAAGGGGAACAATCTCTATTTTTAGTGTGATTCTTAGTCTCTGTAGTTTTACCAAGCTTTGAAAAAGAGAGGATCCCCTCTTTCTCTCTCTACCATCTAACCATGGTAAATGCCTCATACAAAGGGACCTCTAATAGGATATTATATTAGAGAGTGTATGGGGGACTTTCCAATCAATTATAGGAAACAGTAAATAATTAAAATGATATTGATGAGATATTGAAAAAAGATATTAAACCATAGCTTGAACGGTATATCAAAAATGGACCATTTAGGGATAAGGGTGATCATAAATATACTTCGAATGTATCAATTCCTCTCTCATACTGAATAATTATCCTCTTCATGATATAGTATTTGATTCATCACTCCTATGTCATCTCTTCCATTAATAGAGAGAGATGGGAGTCTCCCTAGCAAAAGAGGATATTAATCACTAAGGAGAGAGTAAAACTAGTAGTGAAGACTAGGCAATGAAAGGTGAAGGTATTCCTAAAGAGACAGAGAAGTCCTCTCGACCCTCCTTATATTTAAATATTACATAGTATATTTTGTAGGATATAGTAATATTGTATTGTATTAATTTATGTTGTCTAACTAACATAAATATTTATATTATTAAACCATGTAATATTTAAATAAAATGATACGAGGATGAGGTTTTGTGTGATGTTTTCACGAGTGAGATGGTAAGTATTACTCTCCTAATTTTGAATGAGGAGGATCATCAAGAAAAGGGATGTACCCGGGTAATTGATTTTCCCCCTCTCCAACCAAGAAACGGATCGGGAGGGGCATACAATATTGAGAACGACCTTTATAGGGGAGGGGAGTTATAAGGCCCATCCCTCAAAATATAAAATATGCCTCTATTCTATCACCTCCATAAAGGGGTAGGTACTATTCCGTTGATTGGACCAACGAGTATTGTTTTCATTTCCTACATCCAAATAGATAACAATTATCATAATCTAGAATTAATGACCCATTATTTGGAACTCATGTTGCTAATAGGTCCATTAGCTATAAATTTTATCCATCTCTTGATTGAAATCGTAGGAGGTAGAGAGGGGGTATCTTTACTTATTCCAATTAAGAGTGTCATTAATTCTCTCATGATGGTCATAATAGATATTTTATGACTATATTATTGAAAATAATATATTTTAGAGAAAAAGCCTACAAATAAAGTACCATAAATTGGTCCCCTAATTAGTCTATATTGGACTATTATTTATGGAATAATCTAGAAATAATCAATAATAATAATCTTTTAAATATGTCGGAGCATTGAATAATATTGTTTAGTATTTAATAATTATATCTCTTAATATATATAATTTATATTAACAATATAAAAAGGTCCATTTCAACATTATTTATGAGTAACATGCTCGAAGGTAACCAGAGTTACTTCGGTGTCAAATTATGTGGAGCAATTAGACCTCTATGGATAATCCACATAGTCCAAGACTCATGTTTTCTTAATTCCAAAATATCTCTCAATGAAATGATATTTAGGAATTGCACATAAGCTCCCATGGGGTCAACTATGAAACTATTCCCTCAAATAGGATTCTTGAAAAGATAATCTTTAAATAAAACATAATTATAACTTATTCCCAATATAGTTATAAAAAAAAATCTTGAGTCCAAAGGCCATCAAAGAAGGTGAATTGGAAAGTGGGAACAGCTTTTCGATGCCAAATGGGCTATAATGGGAGATTCATCCAATAGGCCTAGAGTATGAGAGAGATGGAGAGATAAAAACTAATCTTTTAATAATTATTGGAAGAGTGAGTGAACATAAGAGATAATCATGCACCTTCTATATTTAAAGATTATCATGGTGAAAGACCATCGACATAGACTTAAAGTCTGTCTTAATCACCATAAGTGATTTAATAGATGGAGTAAATGGATTTATATTATCATTTAACATGTATCTAGTTGATCTCGAATATACTTTCTCTTTCAAGGGAGAACAAAGGCACCCTATATTGTTCCCTAATCGAGTAATAGTCCTAATTATTTATCCATGATTATTTTGTATGCTCCAATATATTAATTTTTTCACCATGATTTTCAAGTTAGGTCTTTATGTACTTGGTGGATAAGTTCCTAGACCAATGTACCTTATCGATGGATCATGAAGAATATTAATGATATTTATGAAGATATTCTTCTCTCTCTCTCTCTCTTTGTCAATTAGTGGATCATAACCCTCTTTTAAATAATCTAGTTTTTTACCATTCACGATAATGAGAACCCTTAGAAATATAAATGTGATGTATAGATGTTTTGTTAATTAATAAAAAAGAGTATCAAACTTTTAATTTGCTGGTTATATGCACTCATCATGATGGTTCCCGCCATCTCATGTTTAATAGTAAAATATACCAAGTAGTATTAGATGGAGAGAGGGAGATAACTCAAGTAGTACATAACCTAGCAAACTCATCTTTTACAATTATTGCCAATCCAATAGTCCAAGAAGAGTTAGGCCCTCTTTCTATCCCCAAATCACCTTATCATGCCCGTTCAAATAACCATATAGCTTATTCATATTCTTACACTCGGACTATCAAGGAGGATAAATGGGAGAGACGAGAGGGAGAGAGAGTGCCCTATATCTCCATAACAAAGGTGCTAAAGGATTCTTTCCCTTTGAAACAAATGTAAAATCAACTATATCACTAGCATTTCCCCTCTCTCTATCTCTCTCTATCTAGCATAGTAGAACATGATATAAGCAATGAATCTATCAAGTGGTAAGTATTCAAGTGAACAAGGGTGTTAAGATATAATAGAGGTTTATACATAAATGATTGGGCGTGTCCATGTCTTATTGTATGTTATGTACACATACCCTCTCCGATGATAATATTATGGGAAATAGGGTGACAAATAGGGGTATTTAACCTAAACAATTAAACCCTAAAATTCATATGTAATAAAAGGCCTCCTTAGATAACTTTTAATGTACGCTATTGCATATCTTATGTGGTTATTCCTAATGTCTATTAGCCATCAATGATATAAAAACATTATTTCCTTACAATATAATATAGGGGAGGTGCATTTGCATAATTTTAATCAATTGATGGACAATTTAATTACTGCAAATATTAGTCTAATTACTCTCATATAGAAAATTAATATGTTGGCCTCACTTTCTCTTTATATAGGCCAGCCATGCATTAGGAAAATGCTTAAAATTCTACTAGTCGGAGGGAGATAATTAATCGTAATACCACTTGATTAAAATTAGGGTTACCCATAGTTATGACTTAAATAAATAGTTCTCTACATAATATTAGCCTCTCAATGTTATTTTCTCGTGAGAACTATTATGCATCAAACGGGTAACCTTATTAAGTTAACCTCCTTTTTTAGGAAGTCCCTCTTGGGATAGGGGGTTAATATTATCCCATAGTGAGTGACGTGTCTAATTATTCTGGAGAAGATATATATCCCGGGAATGCTATATAGACACTTGGCTTCCCTCTCTCCCCTAAGTTACCAAATATTAATCGAATTCCTAAAGAGTAATTATGTTGATTCCTTGGTAATTAGTCATTGCAATTTATTCCCTCTTCTCTCTCCACTCATTAAAAACAAGGGTCATCCACTTTTTACTGGCCATTATGCATAATGTTAGTGGGCAATTAAAATAGTTAATATCTCCCTAATTTCTACGAATAATCCTAATATTTTTTATCTGGCTAACTTAAAATATTTCGCTACTTTAAATGATTGTATAGTTCTAATATACTGGTTATAGTCAATATCTAGCATATTATTACTTAAATATGGTAATAATACCTATCCCTCATTGATAATAGGCAAGAGATGAGGAATTAACCTCCCAATAGGTCCATCTTATAGGAGGGACACTACAAGTATTCTATAGCAACATTATATAGAACTTTTTATAAATAATTGTTTCCAATATATGTTTTATTTAAAGATTATATTTCCAAGAATCCCATTTTGATGTAACGATGTTGAAACAAGGGTGGCTATTCATTATGAATATTTAGATCATGATGCAATTTTAGTACTTATTTAAGTTGTTGGAGCAGAGCCTACTTATTTATGAATTTACATTGATATAATATAGAATTCGATATATATATATATATATATATATAGAGAGGTTAAATAAAATATTATCATAATATTATGGTAATATTAATATTCTAGGCTATACAAAATTTATAATAATTATAAACCTCAAGCAATCAATCTTTCCACCTTCAATGGCCATTTAGGTTAAATAATAGGTTCTTAGTATTTAAACGAGAGGGTTTCTACAACAAATTGATTAGCTACGACTCCTATTTGGGCCATCAACTCTTCTTTTGCATCATCTCTACTTATCATTTATGTTAACCCCTCCCTCCCTAATTCAATCATTCGAAATAGAATTGGTCAATTTATCCCTCTTGTCTCGCAAAATATAGGGAGGTAAATTCCAGATTAATCATCTCTATATAGGGAGGTTTGAGTATTCCCCGGTTCAAGCTGAAGCTCTCTCTCCATTAATCCTTAGGCCATTTTGTTCTTTTATTTAACCCAATCATATTAACCATTTCTATTAACCGAGTGGGAGTAAAAGGGCTTTTAGTAATTCCTAATATACTAAATTGATATTAAATAGTCAGGAAGTCACAAATCATATTTTCTAATGAAAATGGCCCATTATGGGAGAGGTAGGGAAAGAGGGTACACACACCTAGGATTACACCACGTTGATGGGAGAGAAGACTTGTAAGCATTTGGAGGAATAATATTATCCCTATCCTATTAACAAGGTAATAGTGTAGGATCATGCATCCTATGGAGTCACGGAATACATAAAAATTTTTGTCCATCTAAGGGCCCAAGATCATGCTTGTTGAATCTACTAATCATATATACATGAATAACAAGATAAAAGTAAAGGATTATCTCTTGTAGTGCGGATCTAAATTCCTTCTCTTTGATTAGTCATCCAGGTGTCCGACCTCTATTGATGATCCACATAGCCTAAATATCCACAAAGAAGCACTTAAAATAAATGGGGTGCTAGCTTCACCTTTTTTTATTAAGGATTTCCTCTAGAAACCAATCCCGGGCAACTTTGTGACAACCTTAAAGGAGAAGGTAAGAGTGTTTCTTGCTAGGTTTTTAGGAGAAAACTATTTTCTCTTTTTTCTCTCTTGGCCGTGTGCCCTATACTACTTTAGGGGCTGGCCGAATTCCCCCACCCCCCCCCCCCTTTTTTTTTCTTTTTGGCCGAAATTCTCTATTAGGTTCTCCTCTCCTTTTTGCCCCCTCCTCCTATTTATAGGAGGAGAGTTTCCTTGTCCTCCAAGGATAAGGAAAGTGATTGCCTTGAGTCCATAAAGGACTCTAAGTTATTGCTTCCTTATCCTCCAAGGATGAGGAGTTATTTTATATGTGGACTACTTGATTATTATCTTTAAAACATTCATCCTTATCCGAGTAAGGTTGATGTTTATCCTCTCACCAAAATTATCTTAAGGCTTTTAATTAAACCTAATGGACCAAAACTATTTTAACCCAATTAATTTATTTGGACTATCCAAATAAATATTCTTAGATTATTTTAACGGGGTCCATATTAAGAAACAATTTAAAAAAATACCCTTTTAACCTAAATTAGGAAACTCCTTTCCTTTTAGGTTCTTTATTTCTAAATTTGAAACTAACTTCCAAATTAGGAAATCGATTTCTAAAATAGAAAACTTTCCATTTTGGAAACTCTTTCCAAAATAGGAAACTTTTATAATTGGAAACTTTTTCCAATATCTTTGTTTCTCATTTGTAATGTGAATACTTGAACTTATGCATGTGACTCGATAGACTCTTAGATATGATGGCAATGTATCAAGAATAAAAGACTCATCTTTCATCTCTTGATACATAAATCAAGATTGGCTTCTAGCAAGACATCATGACTACCCAATTCTCTAGGAGGATTAGTTAATCCATTATTACCTTTCACGAGCATAGTTAACATACAATTCAGTCCTCATGTCAACTTATCATAGTGTGATCTCAAACTTGGTTATTAGTCTTATTTGATTATGATCACAAAAGTTTTCTTCGATTCCCAAATGTCTTAGCTCCTAGAGTAAACCAACTATGCTTTATTGGTGTACTCCTACTATAGCCATAGATTTCTTGAGCGGAAATTTATCTAAGTGCAATTTGATTACTCCTTGAGCATATAAGGAATGACATGTCTTGTCTTAGTCATACACTTATCTCCATTAGATTCCTAGTGCACCCAACGAATCGCCCACGTGCAACCCATTAATGGGTCCATTAAAACAAGTATCAAAGTGCATAAGTCCTTCAATGAGATAATCGTGATGAGTTCAAGTCTAAGGACCATTTGTACCCATCTCATATGAGATTCGTATAGACTAAAAACCTAGTGGGTTCTCATGGCGAGTCAAGTCCTATGATATGTTCTCTAACATTAATCACCTAAGTGTTTGCTTTGGCATCACTATACCAATAGGTGTGAGATCTCCTACTTGCTATTAAATAGCATGAGCACGAGCACTCACAAGTCTATCCGCATTTTATCAATGTCGTTCTTGACAATGCTATGACTTAGGACATTTAATGATATCATTTATGTGCATTAGTGTTTGTCTCACATCTTTCGATCAATCACGATTGCAAATGCATATCATAAGGGCTTCTATGTAATTCTATTGAATTTATCAATATGTAAACATAAGAATTAATAGAGTAACTTCTTTATTATTATTAAAATAAATGCTGCAATGACATATTAACATAAGCCCATCCAAACATGGTTGAGTCTTGGGCACCAACACTAACAAATAGGTTATGGATTAGTAGTGTTATACTATTCTATGGAAGAATACAAGGAGAGAGGGAGGGATAATTCTATATAATTGTCAATATTATGCTCCACTACAATGAAGTGATTGGGGGATAATGAATAACTAGATGGTCCATGACACAAGAAAATCATATAGAGTTTGAAGTTGACCAAGAATCGGGTTTATAATTAAAGAGCGAATAGAGGCCAATGAATGTATATCCTTATATGAACTAAGCCTCCCTTTTCAATGAACACCATAATAATCTCCCTCTCTCCCTCTCTCATAATGAATTAATCCCCCATCTTGTTGGCTAAGATGATTAATAGGGGAGATAATAGCTTATTTACCATTATCAAGAAAGCTAATTATTAAGCAATCTAATATTGGCCAACCTATTATGATAATATTTAAGAGGTGGATCATTCCGATATTAGGTAATAGGAGGGGACCCATAGAGTTAAAAAATGCAAACTTCACGATAATAGAATATTCTACCCAAGAAATGCATTCTTGGGGTACTCTATTTGATCTACTTATACTTTGTGTTTTCATAATTAAGGTATATTCCATATAGGTAAAGGCTCCTACAAGCTTATGTGGAGGCTTAACCTTTTTCATGATCATGTCTTGACTACCATTGAGTTATTATATTATGACCACAATTAGGTGTCCCCATTATCCCTTATAATTATCATTAGAGTCTATAAAAAATAATAATTACACTCAAGAAACCATTTAAAATATAATAACTCAATGGTAGTCAAGACATTAGCACTAGTATGTTAATAAAGATGGTATTGGTAAATTTATAAGGGGTATTTGAGGAGGGGGCTATTTTCCTCTTAAGGTATATCGAAAGGAACCCTTACTGTTTATGGTGAGGGGTGACTATGGATGACCTATCCCCATTTAAGATAATGCATGTGTTTAGGAGAATTGCTACTTGGTTTAAACTTTTATTCCTATGTGATGATCATAACTCGCATTATCAAAAAGGCCAATCTTTTATCGGTACATGTAATAATGACCTATATTTTTTGTATCCTAAATGGAGGGGTCCATCAAAATGTTATAACCCAATCATATAGATAAATAAACCAATATATCAAAAAGCCATGTTATAATTTGTGTCATGTTATTGATTCAAATAATTATTTTATGGATGTATGAAACCATGTTAATCATGAGGCAATTCAAGAGTTATTAGTCATAGGTTAACAATGAGACATGCAAAAGTGGTTATAGAGATGTTGTAATGTACCTTCCGATAAGTATTAAGTAAATAGGGGTTATACAAATCTTATTAATATCGATTTAACCATATTCCCTATCACAAATTACCAATATCTTGAATGGGAGATTAAATAATATAAATATGGATAACTAAAATTTAGATCACATATTGTCTTTCGTTATTCAAGGCCAATTATAAGTTAGTGCTAATTACCTTCTCTCTCATATTCTCTAGTTTAATTATTAAAACTCCTATTATCACTATTAGAGGAAGCTTATCTGCCATGTGATCTAAATATTAAGGAGTTAAACTATTATAACACTCGGTGATAAGTCTCTTTTATGTGGTCATGCGAAAAGAGGTATTCTATGCTTGAATTAATCTTATAGGATTCATCTCTCGAAATACCATAATACACCATCCAAATGGCCTACGAATAGGTTATTCACATTGGGACCCTCTTTATTGATAAGGGAGTGAAAGGGGGGTTGATCACCAAGCCTAACATATACTTGAGTGACCATACTTGAGAGAGTTGATAATATATGAAGGACTATTTTAATCACCAAACGTGTATGGATTAACTTATAATAATTTAGTCATTTGACTATGGATGACCTAGCATATTAATGGTTATGATTTTAGGACGATCATAACCATTATTTATAGAATTGCCTCTTAAATAATTAGGGAGGGTAATTTTATATTATAGGGAATAATGGTAGACCAAACCAACCCTTTAAACTGACTTAATCAATATATTCTTCCTTCCTAAATTATGGAGAGATGTGTATTATTCTTTTACCCTTATATGGGTGTGAGGGAATATCCCTTCATGTTAATAACCAAAATCCTCCATATGGTTGCACTATCTAAAAGGAAACTCTTATATCATTTATATTAACAAGATGACAATGTATGGTTATGGGCAACTATAAAAGTAGAGTGAATTGATATTATTATAGCTCGACTATAATAGACTAATCACCTACTAAGGATATTATGATAACATTAGGTGATTAATCAAATAATACCGTGATTATATTTAGCATTGGTAAATTATGAGTTAGATAATAGTATACTTAAGCACTTCTCCCTCAATTAGCCATATCTCTAATTAAACTAACGAGGGATTCTCATCTCTCCCTCATTTTAGCTTAGGTGAATTTTATAGCTTACTTAACTTAAAAAATTTTTTCTTTCATATCATGAGTATAAAGTTCTCTCTATCATGGTATATAGAGAGAGAGTGGCCAAATTTTGGTGAGTTCTCCCATGAT